GCGGTGCGAGAACAGCCTTCCAATGCCATCCAAATCCGACGGTTTGATGCAATTTATTCGTGTCGTCTTCATACTCGTCGGGTCTGTAAGGGCAACTTTAGGAAGGATTTCAGACATGCTATTGGGTGTAGAATTTCCTGTCAATTGAATGTACTGATACCAGTCGTGACAGATATGTTTAATACAATTGATGTTTTTAGAGACAAAACCTCATGCGAATTAGTTATGTTACGTTTTTTTCTAATCAAACAGGTTCAAAACGGTTATTAGCTCAATGGCTCCTAACATTTCTTACTTGCTTATTATACAAGGTATTACCGAGAGATGATCTTAAATCATAAATCAAAAATCCAAGATAGCGTATTTAGACACAATCAATAATTTCTTAGACATAATTGCCGAAACATCAGTAGTTGCATTTTGTCTGCTTTTAACATTCCGCTTTAAAACCAATCCTGAAGACACAATTTTTTCACAGCTTCTGTTTCGCCACCGCAAAGATTACCATTATACAACACGTATGAAGAATTATCTAATTAAGCCTTCATAAATGGCCACACAAATCAAAAGCTCATTGGTCCCCAGCAGCTGTGAGATTTAAATTGCAGCTTCGGCCCCACACGGGCTTGCACAATACGAGCTGTTTATGTGAAGGATGGTGGATAATTTTCAGCGAAATTATTTCTTGATTTAGACTCAGATATTGATTTTAAAAAGATCAAAGGTTCAGTAAAAATAAGCAAAGAATATATACTCTCATCCCAATGCATAATTTTCAGAAATTGCTTTCTAATTTTCCAGAAGTATAATCAATTCTTGAAGCAACGTCACTCATATAACGACGTTCAAAATTTTTTTAGTCCCTAAAGGCTTAAGTGGTGTGAGTACAAAAGTCATCATTGCATGCAGCCCGATGTGTTTTGAAAATTTTTGCTTTAAAACACATGGATATCCATGGATAAATCTCATGGATATTTCTTCAATTAGTTGAATCTTGAATTTTCGTTAGAAAAAATTAGTTCCAATCCGAGAATTTTGCTTAGTTACACATGCTAATATTTGTACACCATTTTTTTGATTTTCGGTTCAATTCGGAAAAAATATGAATTAAACACACTAATTCAATTGAAAAATATCACTACTTATATGGGAATTGAAATTAATATAACTTTAAAAACTTTGTTCATGCTTAATTCAGAAGCAAAGCACTTATTTTCGGCTGTCTGAGGAAAACTCCGGTAGTGGAGCGCGTGATGCATGATGCCTGTTAACGGCGTCGAGACCGAGCTCCGGCATGCTGTTGATATGAGTAACATGTGTCAAAACGAGTGATGGATTACCGTGCTTTGCAATTCCTGACTCAGTAGTGCTGAGCTTACAGATCAAAATAGAAACGTTATTGTAGCTGTTGCTAAATGGATTAAACATCCATCATGCAGATGGAGTGGAAGTTGCGCAAGTCGCTCTTAAAAAATACAGATCGGCGGCAAAAATTCGCTCGGTTGGCCGAAAAATGTCTCACCTGCAAAGAATGTGAAGGTAAAACTATTCCTTACTCAACCGTGATAGATATGCCATGAGGAAACAGTTTCTGAGTAATTGAATGTGACATTCTTCTAGAAAAGTAAATGAAAGTTATGTAGCATCGTTGCTTAAGTTGAATATCAGCCAACTGCATAGTCCATAATTTACATTCTTTCAATATGATAGATGCGAAACGAAATAATTAATGGTTCAGGTTTTTTCCAAAGCATTGAAACATGATAAAAAATAACAAAATAACAAATAACCATGCATTCTAAATTTTATGTTCGTGAATTGTTCGTGAGTCAATTTTTTTACAACTGCACCGTCCTGGAGTCTGAGCAGCGTTTTACAAATTGTGCAATGGATTTACGATACAGCATTCATTTAAACCGAAAATAGAAATATTTGTATTTCTGTCCTGTTCTCGTGTTCAGGAAATGTATCCCATCACAATGCAGGTCATTTGAAAATACTCGTTTAATTATTGTTCATAAGGCTCGTTGAATGGGATCTCATTTCAAAAATCTGCGTTCTGACGCTTGCGACGCCGGCATTTTTGGCTGATTACTCTGCGTGCCGCTCGTTAGCGTTAATTTCCTTGATCGTCGGAGAAGAAAGCGAATCTCATTTTTTTTGCTCCCTAAAAAGCTATGGGTTGGGGTTTTTGTTTTGTTTAAAGTGTAGATAACAGAGCTGAGCTGAATCAACCCTTCAATATTCTTCATTACACTCATTCACTGAGTGCACTAAGCATCTTATAATGTTTTAGAATCAAAACATAAGACATTATTTTTATATGTATAAAATTGTATATACTTGGCTGTAATCTGTGTAATTTGCCGTCTTCACGGAAGTTGCTGGGACATAAGGAGATTCTTTAATTTTAAAATAAAAAAATAAAAAAGTTTTGTACAAGCAACGAAAATTATTGAAGTTTTCGCATGTTCTGTGCGAGCTCATAATAATTACTGGACTACTCATCATCGAAATCCTATACAATCGAAGCTCATAAGAGAGGTTTGGCATTCTTGCTCGCGAATGATATGTTTAACGCGAATTATTCAAAGCTCAGTGAAACTTCGACTCGGAGAGATTTTATTAACGCCGTCAAATTCAGAAATTAAAAATTATTGTTCAATTTTCTTGTTTGGAAGACGATGTTAGGGGATAACAACGGAAAAAAGGCTATGTAACAAAACTTTGAGCTTCTTCAGGTAAAACTTGAACCTGATTCGCTACGGGATCGTTATTTATTAAGTCCGTAATTGGTAACTCCAATAAAAGCGATAGGGACGAAGTTTAAAATTTGTAAACGGGTGGAACGGTGTACAAAAACACTGTTTCAACTTTCACAATATTTGCGTAAAAATCAGCCATAACAGACAATGGCCATAGAAAGTTAAAATAAGGCTCGTACGGAATCGTCGCATTGTTAAAGGTTTCTCTCACGATTCAATTACGTTTTAAATTAATAGGTTTAGGTGCTACTGCATAAAAAGTCAAACAAATGAGACCGAAGGTGTCATTAGCATAACACCTCGAGTACATAGTGTGTATTATTAAATATTAGTGTTGAGTATTAGGAGTCAGATATTCTACTTGTTATTGAGAGACCCCAATCGGCCTTACAAAAGTTTCACTTACAATTATGTCCTTTCATAATGTTACTGTCGACGATATGAAAATGAAATTCATGTGACAGATGGGTGAGAAATACATCTACATGAAGAAGTCACTCTGAAAAATTGAAATTGTTCTCAATTCGTGCAATTTTTTCCGGAGCTCTAGGCACTCCTTGAGTTTGCAACGACGTTAGAGGCACAATTAATATAAACCAACATTTATCGAAAAAATTTATCTTCACCTAAAAATTATGGAACTTTTTCGTGGATATGATAATATTAGGATTCCTAGTATCTGCTATATGACTTTTGTTACATGAAGTCAAGTTGCATCACGGTCTTCCGTCTCATGATCAAGATGCTCGGATTGTGTCCTATGATCCTATATAATCCAATCCTATATATAATCCTTCAAAAGGGTAGCTTGCAGCGCCATTTAGCCCAGTTCAGTCTCCGGTTCCAGTTCATAAACATATACAGATTCTCATATAAGGCAGAACGTTGCATAATATATGGAATAAGCCCTTCGAATGAGTACTCTTCCCTTGCATGAATTACGAGGCCACGATTATGAACGATTTCTCCGTAAAAATGTAGAGATGATTGCAACCAAAAGTACATGTTAATTGAGGTAACAAACCCTTAACAAACCTTTGGTAAACAAAGCTTCTCATGCAAGACACTGATTCGAGTATCTGTTACGAATCCAGAATCAACTGCCTCGTCTAAATCTTTAAATACGCACAAAATTAACACTCTTTTCGTGCGATAAAGTTATGTGGTGAAATGAATACACGAGTCGTAAATTAATTACATTGGTCTCTTCTTTATACCCACGCACCCCCTCACAAAAGTTACTTTATTCGCCCACCAGCTCCTTTCCTGCAATCATATAACAAGCACCCTTGCGAATTTCTGGATAAATCGTCACTGTTTGCATCGAGCGTGCATTATTCTATCCCGTCACTCATGCATTTCTATTAAACCTTTAAACCTATGACGTTTACTGTCAGTTCCTGTTCTGAGTCTCATTAATAAAATTCGTAACGAAGCACCGTATAGCTTTGTACTCTTAACACACTTACTGGCAATAAATTATTCAATTCCTGGCAACTGTAAAGCTGCGAATAATGTGCACTCGCACAACGGTCTCCGACGTAAACTAGGATAAAAATCATAATTTTTAAGGTGTGTATAGTTGACTGTACATGATCACTCGCTGTTCATGTTAATTCACGACCGATGTATTTATAATTGCTCTATAATTACTTGAGCCTGTTTAATAATTAGGGTCTACTACTTGTAATTCGAAGAAAAAGAGTGCAGCTTTTTCCCACTATCCGAATAAAGAAACTGTAGTTTAACATTAAAGTTGCATGAACAATACCGCCTTCAGGTATGATTATCCAGTGTCAATATTCTACAGCGCCATCATTAAATGCTTAGCTATGTTTGCACTACCACATCATATCCAAGATATACTTTCTCAACACGAATCTCCGTGTGTTCGCGCGGCAAGTGTTGGTTAACGATCGCTCTCCAGCAGCGATGTCATGGCTTGCATTATTCCACTGAGCCAACAAAGGCAGCAATCACTGGGACACGAACTTCTCTCACACCCACACCTGTATTGATCAAAGTGTAGGATTGAAGACGTCACTTCGTTAAGGTGAAGTATATGCAGTTTAAATAATCTCGACACGACCAGGATTTAAATAATACAGTTAGAACGTTTCGATCAAAGATTTATCATGATTTCAGACTTTACTTCGATATGGGTGAGTAAAAACAGTTCTCATAATCCCGAAACGTCCAAGGTTTCAATCAGTGGTCTGTAAGTTATGAATAAATATATGATTTATTTAACTATAATTCGTTTAAGTTATACAAATTTTCTTAGCACGTGAGCATGGCGAATGAACGTTGACGCATTTATCATTAATTTATATCATTGATCGACCGAAGCTCATTCATCTCCATCAAATTCATTTTTATATCAGAATACATTCCGATATCCTGCTTTGTGCAGGGCAAAACATCGGTTTCATTCTCTTCTGCCTCATATGCTTCGTCTAAGGTTCAAACTAAACGGGCTTGAAAATATTTTCTTAGATTACTCAAAAATCTTTAGTCAAACCCAATGATTGAGAGAGCACTAATGATTCACCAGTCCTGTCTTTATTCTTATCCCATCAAGTCCAGGCTCTGGCAATTCATTGTTAACCATTAAATTAAAATGATCAAAAAAATTACATTCAAGTGTACTCTATTCAGTGACGTCATTAGTCCCATTTTAGGGGGGCTTCAGCCCTTATAAACGAGGAGCCCAAGACCCGATAGATGTGGGCGATAACCTAAAAATATTCTTCTTGGTAAGGTGCTGTGATGGTGCCAAAGATCATTGACAAAAGCAGCCTTATTATAGTCTGCCATTCATATATTTTCTAATCGTCGACCGCTACTCTTGAAGAAAATCGTGCCCAGGAACAACGAAGGTGCGCACTGTATCGAATACTGAATATTTTAGACAACTACTCAGGAGCTCGTTTCGCATGGGCGATGCATCCACTATTTAGATGTCGTTGCAGTGTTCTCCGTATCTTTGTCAAGGAGCGATGAAGCGTTTTCTGACGTTCCATTTTCCATCGCACAAATTTTTTCATCTGCAAAATAAAAGTAAGTTCAATTTTTTTTTTATTTGGCATTATAAGACAATAACAATCTTATAAAATGAGTTCACAATTCCTCATGTGAGTTTTCGAAAAAAACTTATAAGCTCAGCCAATTGAGAATCTTACTTTTCCCGTCCGTGTTGACGTTGTTCACAATAAACTTGGTGAACGTGAGCCAATGTAGGCCGCAAACTGCCAATGCTGCCACACCAAATATAATATAATTCGTTGCACCTCCGAGCCGTTGGATGATAATTCCTCCTAAGACGGAAGCTATTGAGTAACCTGGAAATAAATATACATAACTATCTTTATTATTAATAGTTTTAACAAGAAAAAAGTCCTGTGTTTGCGTTACCTTTACATGGACCTCCGCATACTATCACGTCCGTACGGGTCTCATAAATTTCGAGTATGCGTCACCGACACCAGAAATGAACATAAGATCACCCTCTTAAGAGATTCAATATTATTTATCGGACTAGAAGGCTCACGTTTACATCAACAGATCAGCTAACATTAACATAAGCAGTACAGAGTTACTTAAATTAACTGGATTATTTTCTGGAGCTGTAACTTTTATATATTACGTAGTTACAGCCTTAAATAATATGAGTAATTGATCAGATTTCATACCCAAAGCTTCGTAGCAAATATTAGTGACGCTCTGCACGGTGGCTGAGGTGCCGGGTGGTGCGATGCGTCCAGCGTACATCACGATGGCGGTGTAGCCGAAGCCGTAGCAGGGGCCGTTGAGCAGCTCAACTGGCAGGGTAAGCCAGGCATGGCCGAAGTAACCCAAGAGTCCAAGACACAATAAACTAAGAAAAAAATTTACACTTAACTGAGAAGCGATGATGTGATGAGAGATTAATTGAGAGAATTAAAATTTTACGTAGTCGCAGGGACAATAGGTAGCACAACCCGCAAAGTAATCCACACATGTACGGTGCAACCCAATTAATAAAAAATAAAAAAAAATAAAAATAATCAATATAAAAATATTCAATATAATATCCAAGTAGAGAAGTGAAGAAATTTTTTCAAAAACTTTATACGGTACATTTTGATTCTTTCAATAGCTCAATAACATATTTAGTTGAAGAGCTGCTACTAAAAAGAGAAATAGATTTTAAACTGATATTTTGAATTGATATTTTGAATTGTAGAAAATGTGAAGATTGACCACACCGCTGCCCATTTTCAACCCAGAATTAAACCTATTTGCCGTTTCTAAAAATATTTTTCTTCGATATCCAAACAAATTATTGGGTAGGATGATAACCTAACTTATTGTGAGGAGACTTCGGAACGTTGCAATGTTGTAGATCCTCCCTGATAGAAATTACCATATATTCCCACCCTGATTATATTACCGCATATTATCACCCTGATTATATTACCGCATATTACCACCCTGATTATATTACCGCATATTACCACGCTGATATACATTACCGTATGCTATATAAGCCGTAAACGATGGTAGATAATCTCTCCGGGTTGTATTTTTTCGTGAGCCGGTCTGGGAAGAAATAAATTGAACATGATAAAAAAATTGTATAACAAATATTTTTTCCATAAATAGTTCGGTTTTGACGAAATTCTAGCGCTGGTGAAGGCCTGTATTAAATATACAATCATGAGAATTTTATCACTGTTAAATTTTTTTTAGCTTCGAGCTATCTATACATGTACTGTTTAAGCTAAGAAGTTTCACCTAAATACTTTATATCTAAAAACTTGAAATGTCAATTTTTTATTTAGCCTTTACATTAAACCCATAATAACCTAATTAGACCTCCAGCACCTTTTGAAATAATCAAGCGAAGAAAAGAATCAGAATAGCAAAAGCCTAATTTTTTTCGATTAATTCTCTAACTCACCACAGATGAACATAAAAGGAACTTCGCTGGCGCTCTGACAGACAATCGTAAGGCCTTGTAGGAGCTTCATGTGGTTCATTGTAGGCGTTCCTGCCGCTATTTCTTCTTGAAGACTGCAAGCCAAGGAATTTGTCGAGATTGATTCTGCGATTTTATGGTTTGTCATAAATTGATTGATATGTGTCCATTACTGTCCTTATATATCATAATAAAGACAGTTGATTGGTGTATGATGTTTTCAACAAATATTTACTTGAACTACGTTATCACAACTGGACAATTTTCTTGTCCGTACACGAAAATATAAGTTGCAACAATTCCATCGAAGCAGCCATTCAAAATGACGAATAAGAGGAAAACCAGGAATTCAGGTCTCTTGATTAATGGCTTCAAGTGGCGCCAAACTGCCGGATTTTGCTCCAACTTCGGCACCTTAAAGAATGGAGGTTGAATTCATGAGTGCATGGCAAATTTTCACATATCTTGGAATTATTTCAGGAATTATTTTAGAAATTTTTCAATAATTTCGTGCTTTATGTAAGCACCTCTCAAATTTGGATAATTTTGAATATTGAAAATAAAATTGATAGTTCATGTATGCCTTTGTAAGGTGATATTGATTTGATGAATAAAAATCCGAAAAAGGTTAGAATATTCATGTATGTATGTTCAATGCATTGCACGTACTTACAAATGCATGAATAATAGTTTCATAAACACTCCTACCTTCAAAGTGCATGATGAGACAGCGATATCAGCGAGGCCGATCAAAAGAGCGAGCAGGAAGGCTGGTGAGTAGCTTTTCACGACGCTGTCCGCTGACCACCAGTCTACCAGCGCCCCACTCACCAAGCCAAACGTGGCCCAACCAACGGAACCCCAAGCTCGTTGCGAACCATAGTCACCGTGGACGCCTAACCAACCGAATAGAAAGTTTACAAGATCTGAATAACTGAACGAACAAAATCCCATTTAGGTTCTCGGCTTAGCCGATAAATATAAGGATCAACTAGATTGGAGTTCCGAGTTATCGGGTTCAAAACCCGCACCTAGTTGTGACTATTCTGGTCGAAAGCAGTAAGGTGGCCGGATGGTTAATAACCAATCAAAGACCAACCGGGTACAATCAATAGCCTTTTCTAAGCAGGACACACAGTGTCTGATTTGATATAATAGATCAATAAATTGATGAATCTACATCTTAACTTAACATCTCTTGAAGTCGTAGCTTCGCAAAAAGCTATAAAATTATTATATATCGTTAAACTCCATTTTATTACGAAAAAATTATCAGAATTTGTAATAAAAGCAATTAATATCTCATATAAAACTCACCAACACAGTCAATGCAGATGGCGTCAGAAACAGAATTCGCAGTGCTGAACATCACGGTGGCCCCCAGGATCAAAAAGCAGAATGCATAGAAGTCGGGCTGTGACCAGATCGAGTAGCTCACGTCTGCTCTCTTGGCGCATTCTTGTATACGACGCATCGTGGCCGCGTCTCTGGGCGAGCTCGTCTCCACTGAGCACGCCCAGATTTTGTGGTGAACGAGTGTGCAGGATACGCTGTGGTGAAGAATATTTATAATTCATTCATTTCCTCCTCACATAATTGCAACCAACTTTATTCAAACTGCTACAAGGTCTTGAAAATAAGAAATATAAACAAATTATTTTAATATTTTTCAAACTGTATTCAACATCTGGCAGTCAATCAACATATGTGTGCGCCAAAATTTAAGCTCGCATATCCTTATTCTGACATGAATGCGTAAGAAATTTTACGTTATTGGACCAAAATCCACAATCCAATCTAACTAGCAACGGAGTTACTAAAAGCATTCCGTTTTGTAAACTGTTTTAAAGCTAAAACTGAGCTTAACTGTTTTAAAGATACGTTTTAAAGCTAAAACAGAGATGAACTGTTTGAAGCTACGTTTTAAAGCTAAACAGAACTAAAATGTGTTTAAGCTAAAACAGGCACGAAATAAAGTCATCGATAAACTGTGTTCAATGGAAAATCAAATGCTATCAGTTATCTTATCTATGTCACGATAAAAGAGGAGTCTCCCTGACCACGCGTTCAGGGCTACGTAGATATCGTTGACAGCGTTGCCAGCTGACACCTCGTTTGACGGATGTGGCACTTCGGCTTCTTGCTGGGGAATAAATGATAAAAAGTGAACTATGTAAAAAATAAAAATAAAATAAAAACTATGTAAAAAATAAAATAAAAAATTAAGCTCATTATGTCATTATGTTTTGAGCGTATTAACTTTTATTATGGCATATTCAGCTGGGCGGAAACCTTAATCTATATTTTCAATGTGGCAAATATATAGGAAGTGCATTTAAATAAAATTATTAAAAACTTAGTACGAAAATGGCATAGGTAAACGCTGAAAATATATTTTTTTAACATTAACAAATTGTGCCACTAAAATAACGCGGGTCTTGCAACTTAACTGATTGCCGTTAACTTAGTTTTTGTTAAATAATAGTTACTACTATTCATTTTTGATATGTATTAAAACACTTCAAATAGCCAATTTTAATCATTTGAAGCGCAGAAAAGTAGAATTTTTCAATAACTGCGCGAGAATTAGTTCTACCATTAAAAAAAACGTAAACATTTGTCGGCATATTGAAAAGAAATGTGTAAATACAGTACATGCCTGTAGGCCAGTAAAGTTGAGGCGAAAGCACAGCTCTGACTGGGACAGATAATTTGTTCCTTCAACGCAGGATCCTGAGCAGCAGTTGATGATAGTCCCAGGTGGCCAACTGGTATCTGGGGGAATGGTTAATTAATCTATGATAACGGTTTCAAAAAAATGTTTGAAAAACTTTTCGCTAATTTTATAACACTTATTTCTTTGTTTAAATATGGTTATAATTAGTTATTTAACAATATTTATTTTTAAATTCGCTTTAAAACAAGTGTGTATACCTTACTTCCCTATTTTTTATGACTGATATGGATAATGATGCTCACCCTCTACCCCCACGTTGATGTCAAGGTAAAAATTTTCAGGCTTAGGCATTCTTTCAGCCAACGAGACTTCTTTATCTTCATATATGTCGTTCGTATGAAGTTGAAGGTCGCGCGGAAATTCTTCTGGAAGCCTGAATACCGAAACGAACGAAACGTCATAAGATTTCTCATCCGGTGCTTTGAAAGGTTTGATAAAATAAATCGAGGAATAAAATATCGTCATGAAGACCAAGAGGAGAATGAAAATAAACTTCCTGAAGGATGGGAAGGAGTCTGCTGCCGCTGCGATGAGCGGCTTGATGAAGACGACCATGAGGAGAGTGATACCCGTGACGGCGCCCTGCACTGACAACGGCACGCCGAGCTGCTGGCCCACGACCATCAGGAACGGCAGCACCGGCACCAGACCTGCGTGTTAGGCAGTGAATTAACTTAATTTGTGACGTTTAAATGAATTTATATTTGCCTGAATGCTGGACCAAGCCAGTACGTTAGGTACTAAATTAACTTAATTTGTCACGTTGAATGAATTTATATTTGCCTGAATGCTGGAGCAAGCCAGTACATTAGGCAATAAATTTACATAACTAGTGACTTTTAAATGAATTTATATATGCCTGAATGCTGGACCAAGCCAGTACGTTAGGTACTAAATTAACTTAATTTGTGACGTTTAAATGAATTTATAATTGCCTGAATGCTGGACCAAGCCATTACATTAGGCAATAAATTAGTACGATTTTTGACTTACTTGTCAAAATGGATTTAAAAGGCACCAATTGATGGAACAAGACGGTAACAAGTACATAAGGCAATGAATTACTATTACTTGTGACATTAAAATGAATTTAAATGGGATATAAGCAAATAGAACGTTTGGTGAGCCGCTTTCACTGAGCGTTCAGATATGCAACGTCACAAGTTGGGTTCACTAAAGTTCACTATTGCGTGACTGGGAAGCTCGGTTAATTGTGGTATAATATTGCATCAAATATAGCAGCTTCGTGAGTCAACTTACCGGCGAAGAACAAAAAGTAATGTACTTTGATCGGCAAAGTTGCCTTCGAACACTCAACTCCACCCATAATGATTAATTAAACTGTAATGACGGATCGTATTTCTCGTTAAAAACGTATTGGTATAACTGTAACGTTGATGGGTATTCTGTTAACACAGATAACCTTTAAATTCATGAAGAATGTACACTTCAACCGTCTTCAACCTGATTCATTTTCACTCATAAATAATTCACTGATTCATTTTCACTCATAAATAATTCACTGATTCATTTTCACTCATAAATAATAAAGTTAATGAGCAAAATCATGCACTGCGAGCCTCAAGCAAACGAACATAAGAAATATCAGTTGGATGCGTGAACTTGAGCATTTTTTTGGGGCAGGACGGATTTAGTAATAAACGTTGGAAGTCACACGACAAATTACCATCACTTTAGAATCGGGGGAATGAATTTGTATTGTTTTTTTTTACGACATCCCTCTTATATTCAATGCTAGTATGCACCTGAAGAATTTTTATTCATGTCTATCCAACGATAATGTACAGAAACGTCTCAATTTTTGTTATCAGCCGTTGCATGAACGCTCACGATGGTATTTTCAGTATTTTTTCACATGTAAACGACAGAAGAAAAGTGACAATCAAACGTGTTGATCGCCCTAATAATAATAATCCAACAATGATATTAGAAGGTCAGAGGATTTATTCAGTATACACAGGAATTAAAATAGCCAGAATTGATATATCATCTGAAGGTCAGTGACTGTCTGCCCACCTCACCCCAATGAACACTGAGAGACTGAATAACATAGACTTGTTATGCTCGTCAAGGGAGCTGAGGTAGTGCTGTACTTTTCTTCACAAGCGTTCAGTACAACAACTCACTTTAATAGATAGTACATAATAAATTAAATTATAGAAAAGTAATTAGAAAGACTTGCAAATATGTAGCATAGCCAAGAACTGGACATCCCTACACCAAGTGTTCGAATCAACGTCTGTCAGAGATTGCTATTGTAAAAATAAACCCAACGTAAAGATATGTTATCATCCTAATAAAGATGTTTAGATATGGTTGGCTTGTGTCTGTACAATCACAGCGGAATTTTCTTAGAACTTGTAATTAGAACAATACTAAAAACTATAATTTTGCATAATTTATTGAGTATTTTAATCGTGTTGTGAGTGATATAACTCGTTATATTATAGCATATAATTTGATAAATTTGCGATTACTTTTTTACCAATCTCCTGCTAGCACTAATCCACTTGAACCACTCTCTTGATAACTAATCTTTCTAGGATTAGTTATCATACCAATCAAAAAAATAATTCGTTGAATCTGTGTGATTTTGGTATGAATCAGTAAGGCGACATTGCATCCTATGTTTGTTGAATCATCAATTTCAACTCCAACCATGTAGGTGAACTCTATAGTCGTGAATATTTTCAAAACGACGACTTTACTGGAGATTGTAACAAAAGCTCATAGAAGATCCATTCATCGCAAGCAATCGAATTGCGAGAGTGCAAAGATTGCAATTTTCATTCACTTATCTGACAACATCAACATTAAATTATATAAAGGACATAAATCTTAAGAAAGTGTAACATGTAGAGTGCAAAATTTTTAGCTGCTCGGAAAGTTTAAAAAATGCATTGTTTTTGCACCACAAAGACAAACTTCGATATGTTCTTAATTTATTTAACTGGTTTGCTGAGCTCTAAATCTTGCAATGCAGCTGGGATGAAAACATCCTGAGAAGAGTTGAAATTTTCATTTCAAAATGAGAGGATTAAATTTTGTCTTTCGGAATTCTTAAGCGACAATGCATTGTTTAATCTAACGTAACCAATTTTGAATAGAACAAGTAATTAATATAATTATAACATTGTTTATAAAAAAATTATATTTGTTTTACTCTCATTTCCAGCCCCAACAAAACTGCAGCAGATATTTTATGTATCAAATGAATTCTTACGAGTACCAAATAATTTGTCGCCAGAAAACGCTAGAATCTGGCTACGATTGTGGCTATATTAATATAAACGCCATAATCTGTCAATATAATGCCTAACCGAAGATTTATAATAGGAGATAAAGAAGCCAGAGATTTGTGCAGATGCAAAGACCATATATGCCTTCATTTTAAAACATGGTTGATAACTTTTACAAACTCGCCTCGCAACCAAGCAGAGGCTTTGATATTTTAAAATAATGTCCGTAGCCTTAAAGCCCAACCATGTGTACTATTGTTGAATAACGCAACATCTAACCCCCTCATTAGTTTAAATGACTATTAATTTCATTACAAATGCTTCGACATCATCAAGTACACTGCCATAGATAATTCAATTAAGTGTTCTGTTTTATCCTGTCTAAACGATAACTGCCGACCTGTGATCCATTATTAATGCACACACAATGTAAAAAAAATTCATGTCAGTTTAACGCCTCGCATGATGTCGTTACTTTACTCACTGCCTTACGTATAGTGCATCAACCTCCACACAGAGAGCCATCTATACGTGCAACCGCAGTAATAAAATGTCATCCTTTTGGTGTAATAACTCGTAGACAAACGATCAATTCAGTTAGAACTTTCATTGCTGCATGAAGTTATCACGTTTTTTATTTAGAAAAAATGTAATCGCTATAAGTTTCTAAAATGACGATTCATCTAACAAGAATTTCATGTAAATGGACCATAATATGACGTTAGGCAGTGCGGCCATAGGTGAATTTAATTTAACGATTGCTTTCGTGTGTCTCTGTCAAGAGCGATCCGTTTATAAAAAATGAGAGGTTTACACACCATGGAGCGAATGAGCATTTAAATTATATTGTCATATTTTATGTTCGGTGAAATAATTGAGCAAGTAAAGCTATAAGATGGCGACCCTTGTTAACACTGCAATTGGTGCAAGTGAAAAATTGGGCCCTTAATAATGGCACATTGGGACCAAGATTCATTGTATTGTAATGAAAAAGTGCGGCTCTTGAATGGAATGTATTTGGTTGCACCAAGTGTTGGGCAGATTGTATTCTGTGAATATTTGTAATAACATAACATAACACAGTGATGTCGGCGCTGAAGTGTAGGCCTGATGTGGCCTGTCGCCGATTCTTTTCCTTTTCGTACCTTGTTCATAGATCTAAACTCGTGTCATTTGACAGGATCTTTTCATGACTGGCGATAGTTTGAAGTAGCTACTAGACTTCCACCGGGTTCGATAAGGAGCTAGGCATTTCAAATCTGAACATATATTTTTCCATAGCTTTATCTAGTATATTCTTGAACGCGTTCATACTTGGAGCGCCAACGATGTCATCGGGGAGGCTATTCCACATGTCGGTGATTCAAAGCGAGAAAAAATTTTGTCGCGTGGAGAAGTTGCAGCGCAATTTTTTTGGCTTATAGCCGTGGCCCCTGGTGTTGGTTCTTGTTTCAAATTCTAGTAACCCTTCAGGGACCTTGTATAGACCATGAGTATACTTGTATACTTCAATGAGGTCCCCACGCAGACGTCGATAACTGAGGCTTGGAAGCTTCATAATCTTCAATCTTTCTTCATAGGACTTGCCCTTCAAGCCTGGAATCATCCTTGTTGCACGTCTTTGAACATTCTCTATTAAATTAAGTAATATTGAATATTTATGGAATATAATTTTTGCAATATAATTTGTCACATAAGTTTTCGCGCGAACGATGTTTTTCGTTTTTACAATGATTAATCGATGTTCTAATCGAATATTCTTAGTCTTCAAACAGTGTTCGGGTCCCAGGCAAGTCCATCATGCAAGGAGGGGTAACAAAATCGAAAGCATTTGGTACCTTAGAAAAATGCAAACATTACTAAATTGTTTTTGCGGCAGATGAGAAATAGCGAATGTATATTTTTGCACCGGCTTTATCAGCGAGACTTATTATCCTTCATGATGGATAACTCCAGATAGATACATTGTTGCCATCAGATTTTCATTGTTTTTTATGGGCGTCAATGAGGATTGCCTCAGCCGACGGCTGAAATAATCTCACCCATGTAGAACAATGTGTCCGATAACATTTAGCGATGATTAGAGCATCATGATCTGCCAACTAACTCTCAGTGGTTGCCAACCTTACATTCGGTCACATCGTCATTAGTATTCGCATTCGTCACATCGTAAATGTGCAATATGCAGGAGCTAGATTAACGAAAGAAAAACTTGCGTATTCGTTATTTGGAGATCGTCACCTTGTAGACAACGGTCATCCCGCGATGGCTGAATTTGTGCCTATGGTTCTAATTGTAGTATGGCTGGCAATAGTTTTGAATTTTCATCCTGGAAATGGTAAGATTACATAAAAAAATTATTCAATTTTTACAGGAAAATGAGTTGAACGTGAGGGGAGCACTGAGCAAAATTGTTCAAAATATTTATTTGAATTCAATAAAAAGTTTTCTATTGGATTTTCTATTGGAGTTTCTATTGGTTCTATCTATTATTATTCTATATTATCTAAAGTTGGATTGGAGCTTTCCGCAGTTGCTATTTAACTTTATATGAGTGACTCACTATTTATTCACTCCTAGAAAGTGACGCCTTAATCATACGACTACTTTACCCATTAAAGGTTTCTTCCAATTACTTACAAAATATCAGTCGTACAAACACAAACAGCGAGTCCTGAAATGCTTAAATGTTTAATTATTTATTCGACAAGCGAATGAAAGTATGGCTGATATTTTCCCGTGATCCAGGTGAACAATTTTCGTGCGACTTCGAAGAGAATGAGTGCGGCATCGTTCCATTGGCAAATAACTCGTTTGATTGGACGAGGCAATTCATGGAAGATCCTGACTTGCCTGAAGGAACCTACATGCTTGCCGACTGCACTGGTCGGAAAATTGGCGAAGTTTCGGGCATCACGACACCCATGTTGGGAAGCGGAGGCAATCATTGCCTGACTTTTGAGTGAGTTGTTAGTTATCGTCATTAGACCTCTGATCTCGCTTGTCAGAAATTAATATCTGTATTCATGGCAAGTCATTTTTTTGAAGACGAAAGGGAGGGAATCTCTTATTAAAAAGGATTGGCTAACTAAAAATTGTAAATTGATTATACAATTTCATGTTAAACAAATTTTCCTGAGGAAAAAAAGTTCAATGAGCTTACGTGTTAGTTCAACTTGAAAAGATTATACAAGAAATTACAAGCACAT